AAATTTTTATTTTATAAGCTCAGTCAGTCAACTCAACTAAGTGTCAAAATCATTAGTACAAAGTTCTAGCCTTGTTACAGGTCATTCTAAGGAGTTTTGAGCCTAATACACTTAAGAAATAAGTGTTAGAAAGTACCCGCTAAAACCACAGTGTAGAAAAACGAACCCTAACCTCATCTAAGTGAGTTCACGGCCACAAGACCATGAGTTTACGGCCGTAAACTCATTGGGCCGTAAACTCAAGAGCATACGTAAGGCAGATGGTCATTTAGAGTCATTTCTCTCATTCCCTAGCCAATTCTCCTTGGTTCTCTCTCAACTATCATAACAACAATCACCCTAGATCTTCAAAACTAGTGAGTATTATATCCCTTGATTAGTTAATACATCTTATTAACTAGCTTCTTACATTGATTTTATCCATGAAAATCATGTTTATTTAGATACTCAAGAAAAACCAAGAACACACACTGGTGTTCTTGGTAAAATCGACTAGTTCAAGCTCCTGTATCGTAAGCACTCTTCTTCTAACTTGTTATACACTAGATTACACATGTTTAGACCTTAAAAACACTAAGAAACAAGGGTTAGAAGAGAGTTCATGGCCAAGGATGTTCTTGGGCAGTGAACTCCCTTTTATGGTGCCAAGATGCCCCAAATTCCTTCCTTAAGCCAAGAGACTAGCCTAGCACTTTACCTTGACGTGTTTAGGACTCAAAAAAATCAAAATACCATCACCCATAGGTGATTACGGCCGCAAACACAAGCCAAAATGGTCCACGGGCCGAAAATTCAAGTTAGGGGTGTTTTGATGCCACAAGCACTTCCTAAGGCTTAGACTTGAATTTAGGATGCTTCATTATGACCTTTAGGACCTTAAACAACCCTCATAAACATAAATGGCCATGAATTTACGGTTGTAAACTCATTAGGGCCGTGAACACCTCAAAAACTCCAAAGAAAGTGGTCTTCCTCATCCTAGGGTAGAGCTAAGGTCCCTAAATCATCCCCTAGCCTTCAAACTTGCACTTACACATGAGTAACCATGAGTTTACGGTCGTAAACTCCCTTGGGCCGAAAACCCATGGTAGTAAACTCATGTGAGTGCCATTTTACCTTCCTTTGTTGAATCACATGTGATTCTAACACTTGGTCAAGGTCTTTCCTAGTCCCGGAAGGTGTTTCCTTTCATATAGTTGTTATAAACACTATATTCATGCCAATATGTGTCATTATATATATCATTTAGGACTTATTGTGTCTCAGGACTTCATTCGTGGAATTTCTCATCCGTATGCACATACCCGTTTAAATCACCCACATCAGGTGAGTTCATACCCAGTAATGAATCTTTTAACTATTTTAACTGTTTTAAAAGGGGGGGGGGGAATACAGGTTGAACACAATGATAATTGTGTAAATGTTTGTTGTTAAACATCTTTCAAAATGTTACTTATGTTATTTATAAGTTGTCAAAACATTTCAAAACTCTTTTAAAAATTATGTTACTTTATAGTTATACAAAACGCTATTTTTTTAAAGTACAAGCATGACTTATTAGATAAACTAATATTTTCAGTAACAGTCCAGGTAGAACATTAGTAAACTATTATAGGTATAGTTTAGGAGAATGCTATTCATTACTTCTAGTACAATGAAGCACACAAAGAATCAATACCATAACAGAACAAACAGTGAAGAGAATCAAACAATACCAGAACAGAACATAACAAACAGGTTAAGTTGCTATAGTATGAGAGCACACAAACAGGATCTAATTATATCAATGAATCACTAACGCATTAGTGATAGTTATATTGGGTATAGATGATCATATAACTTTAATGTGAATTACACGGCTTGCAAGAAATTGATGGGGTCGCATTTGGTTCCCTAAATCTCTTTACATTGAGAGCGTTTAGTAGGGGTTCTAGCTTTCACATTATGACCGTAATAAAACAAATATGTTTTTAGGTTATTATAACATCCGCATGTCATTATAAACGACATATGTGTACTTACTTTTCCCATTACTTTCATAAAGTGTCAGTACCACTTGAAAGTTGATCTATTTTCTAGTCAAGATAGTTATAAACTAAGGAGAATATACTGTTACATTTGACAAAGGAACAATCGGGTTTAACACAGATCAGAAGATGCCTAGGTAGAAGGCTACGATTAAAAGTTAGGATCATAATGCTAGCTTTATGATTCCTTAATGTATACACTATAGGATACATATATGCAAATAGATTCCGACAGCTAATAGGATGTGTGCTCTTCACTTCACTTCCTGTTCTCGTTGGATGTGGGCTTGGAATGAGGTCACTCAATCTATTATCTACCCGAATCTATATATATATATATATATATATATATATATATATATATATATATATATATATGCTTAGTATCCATTAAGTCATCATAAGGGTACCAGGTATGGATCAGGTTATAGGACACAGAGTCAACGCACAGCTTTTCTAGTACAAAACATACTTTTCAAAGTCAGTACTTTTGGTATACAAAACTAGAGATTTCCTAGATAAGGGATTAATCAATTTTATTAAGCCAATACAGTTTTAGAGACTTTAGGTGAGTAAATCTATAACACCTTAGTTTATACACCATGTTAAATATAAAACTAATACCTAATAGATAGTTAACGATGTGTTTTCTGCCTTACTTCCTGTTCCCGTTGGATTGTGAGCGTAGGGCAGATTCACTCAATTAACTTTCTACCCAGTATCAGATTATATATAGCAGTATAAACAAAGCTATTATAAAAGTAGTCACCGTAGTCATTATTTTACTATAAGTGTAACGCCCGCAGATTCGGGCTAGTCAATTTATAGGCAATAGGGGGTCGAAAACGAATTTTCAACAAAATATTATTTAGAATAAATAATATTAACAAAGTTTTAGAATATGTCACAAGGTTTCCGTACATATAAAGAACGCCAAAATCCGAGTTATAACGAAGAAGTTATGACTCGTCGAAGTTTCGCGACGTAACCGGCACGGTACCGGGAAGCGTAAATAGTGAATTTATGATAAAGCAAGTTTTAGCATTAGCGGTAAACGAAAGTCATAGAGTATGTTAAACTAAGAACATCGATAAAAAGATCGCCCAAATCTGACTTCGTATGAAGAAGTTATGATTTTTCGAAGTTTCGGATTAACAGTGTACAGCCCGAAATTCGAATATTAGCCCGAGTGATTTTTAGCCAACACGACCTAAACGAGAATCGAAAATCTCATTAAGAGTAGTGTAACGAGAAAAAAGATGAGCGAAAATGGACGTCGGATGAAGAAGTTATGAGAATTTAACGGACCAATCTTGTCCCGGCCTGTTAATAATATAAAATTTAAAATCCACTCAAAATTAGCCGACGGAGTCTAAACGAAAGTTGTAGAGTGCGTTCCCACCTTCGCGTGGATATAAAGAACGTCAAAAATGGAGATCGTATGCGAAAGATACGAATTTTTAAATTTTAGACTCAAAGTTGCGAAACCTGTTGCTCGATCGATGACGTGGCGCAATCTGGACCCTCCATTGCTGACTCAGTACCCGCCTCGGATAAGTGACACGTCGCCCCTCGCTACGCCCAGCGTCCGAGCTCAGAACGCGCCGCGTACGAAGGGTCTTCATGTGGTCTGAGAACAGGTCGCGTTGCACCATGCGAAGCTTGCCACCTGGAGGTCTAATCCAAAGCTACGCCCCGCGTAGCTGCTGAACGCCCAACGTACCACCGAGGCTTCGCGCCTATAAAAGGCATGCGAAGTTGCCCGGATTTCACACACCTTTCCACCTTCTTTCTCTAATTAGTTTCTCTCTCTAGCTCCTCTAAACCCCCTTAAACCCTAGATAAACCCCTTAGCTCCTGAGGGAAGCCCCGGGGCTCCCGGAGTCCCGAGAAAAAGAGCCTTTCGGTTTCGAAACGCTGCTCCAAATAAGTTCCGGTTTTCGATAAAATTCGTTGTAAGTGTGCTACGCTTACGCAATTTTTATAAAGCTTTCAAATAATTATAGGAATGTTATTAGGTCCTTAAAATAATTATTTGGGCTATTATTATAAATTATATTGAGTGTTATTTAAAACTTATATGATAATAATAATAGTCAGACTATTAATTTGTCGCTGTTATCGTTAGACTAAACCCTAGTGGTATTGATACTAGGTTTTATCGAAGGAAATTGTTTTGAGAGTATCGAAGCGCTGTCTGAGTGCTGAGTCACCACCTTTCAGGTGAGTGCATAGTTACTTTCAGCTTACACATAGATATGAAGTATTTTATATAAATTATGTGCTATGTGTTCATATTATCCGAATACTTGCTATCTATGCTGGGTGAACGATTTTATACATGTTTTAAATTATTTAAATTGTATATGTATTTTATATCTACAAATATGTTAGGTTAAAACATGGGTAGATGAAATAGTTTCTGTGTGACAAAAACAAAATGAGGAAGAGGTAACTGTGACATCCCCAAAATCACGGGCAGAAAAGACCGGTTTGTTTATGCTTTGTTTAAAAATCAGAGTAACATTTTAAATAAAGGTGTTGCATAATTTGTCCCAAAACAAAATATTATGATAAAGATTTATCAAAAGCATTTCCATAGAAATGTATTTCATTAAAAGACTTGGGATGTCATGTTCGTACTGATCAAAAGCATAAACAGTACAATATAAGCCTTACTGCATTATTTCGTATCTACAAGCCTATATCCGTAATCCCTCGTCCAAACATCATATCTATGCTCAGGCGCCACTACCTGTAATACATAAAACTGAGTGGGTCAGGCTTGGGAGCTTGGTGAGCACATAGGGTTTTCAACCGACAATAAATAAGTTTATTAATTCCATCAATCAACAATAACCCGATTACATGTTCCCATT